TTACAATGTGAAAATCCCAAACCACTTGAAGATGAAAAGAAAGATAAGAAAATTGGGGAAGAAATGATTTTCAATATATATGATGAACAATGGATTTGGATTACTTGAACAAGCCTCAAGTTAATCTCCAAGAAAGAAAAATAGCTTTGAATTTATACCAAAGAAGAACAACCTCTTTCTTGTTAAATTCTCTCCAAGCCCTCTCTTCTATTTTCTCTCTAAAAAACCGGATTGTTAAATGAAGGGAAAAACAGTTATATATATAGCTTAAACTAGGCGCCCTCCCTTGGCGCCCACTCATGGCACCAAGGCACCCTCCCTTGCTTCTCCTTTTCTCACAGAGTGTTGGGCTGATAAATGAATAAAGGTACATAAGAGCTATGAACCAAATGAGGATGCTGATGGATGTGAGTCTGCTAAAGGGAATAAGATAAGAAATGAGAAATACAGGATAAATTAAAAGAACTACGACTTAAATACTTGAGACATGTTTTGGAAACACTAAAACAGGCTCTTGTTCATAAGAATAACGCTGTCTCATTTGAACAGGTTAGACGAAGGAGGGCACATCAAAACCTGTAGTTGCTCAGTAGATCTCATGTTCAACCAAACAAAATGGCCGAAAAAGATTCATTCAGCCAACCTCGCATTTGTTGAGAACAAAATTTAGTTTGTTATTATATAACTTAGCATCTTCTACGAATCATAATAATATATTACAGGAATTAAATCAAGCTCAAAAAAATATAAATAAAAAAATCACATACATGGTTTTGTTATAGACTAGTGGCAAGTCAAGCATGGTTCCACTGTGACAAGAGTCGATGATTGCATGAAGTATGACACCTTGCTTAAGTGGTCTAACAATGGCTTCATTTATATAATTGTCAACAATCATTCCTTCAGTTTTAAAATCAACGGGGCATATTGTTTCATCAAATCCATCTTTCTCATCCTCGTTAAAATCAGGTTGTCGTAAGCCATGCCCTGAATAGTAGAAAAACAAGGAGTCCCCAAATTGCAGGTCTCTTGTTAGCCATTTAAAACCATCTTCAATATTCTTCTTTGTTGGAGGCATATCAGAATCCTCTTCTGCATCATTCTCAAGCAAATACATTATATCTATAACAGAATATCTCACTGAGATGCATTTAACCTAGGTCGATGCATGCAATAGAATCTGTCTTTGGCTCCATCCTTGCAAGATTGGATCGAGGGTACAAGCAAGATAACCGATAAAATTAGTAGTTCACTTATTCATATCGAGTACCCACTGCGTATCATTTTAGCCTATTTACTTCACAATATAATTTCTGAAAAAGGTCACAGACCTGATCTTTTTGTGGCGAAACATATGACAAATTATGCTGTTACAACAACCAAATGAATTTTTGACATATATTTGTTGGGAGAATCCTATTATCATCATGAGAGCACTTCACCTAGACAAGAAGAAGACTTGACATACACAAGTTGAAGGAAACTAGGTCCATACAAAGCCAACTGTTGGAAAATACGGGTATTGGGTCGCCCATTAGGATGACCCGACCCGCAAGATTTTAAAAGGGTTAGGAGGGAATGTTTTGAATGGAATTTAAATCCATAGCTTCCCCAACTCCCAAGATAACTACTTGCAACCTTCATAGAGTTCTGACAAAAAAAGGGACAAAAGGATGGTGTGGAGAAATGGTGAAAATTCATATGGAAATTCACACCAAAATTAGAAAGTCCCTAGAACCATATTTTTGGCATAAAATGGCACTTAGATTGTGGATAATAATCCCCTTTCATTGGGATTGAGATTGGGATCATTGGAGTACTAGAAAATGCAAATTTTGATACTTGGATAGCAAGGTGATTCAACCACACAAAGATTTTGAAATTCATCATTTCAAATAAGTTTCTTGATCCAAAATTCATGTCAAAGTATGCTGCGAATTCCTACAACTAAAACTATGTAGCTCTACCAAGGGAACTTAACTCAATGGGCTAGGAAAATTACAACGGTGTTCCCTAATCTTCACAAATTAAGCACCCTGGGACTCAATCAGATATTCTAGCATCAACATCTAAAATCTTCATTTTTGTTGCACAAGTCGACCCTATTGAATTAAAACCGTTTCACACCTTTTTTGGGTGTATTTTAGTTAACCATCTCTAATCTACCCAAACCGGAAGCAAGAAGGAGGACCAAAAACAAACAAAATAGAAGGAAAATATGTTATGAACTTGCAAGCTTAATGAATATGTTAATCATGGGTCTACACAACTTTTACTGTAGAAAATGCAGAAAATAATGGATGATACCTGATAGAATGAGAATGCAATCACGTGGAAAATTGAATTGTTTAACAAGGAAATCTCTCATGCTATGCACATCATTGACAACTCCTCTGAGCCTGAACTTCTGCTTCTTGTAACTCACTCCACAGATAAATGCTCTCTTCGCTCCTGGAGGTCTCCCAGATAAATTAAGACATAATCGGCTGCTTCTTGGGGAAACTGTATATGGACTATCATTTCTTGAACTTCTCCTTCCAAATAAATGGCAGGTCCCTTTAGCTTCAGTAATGATCTTGTTTCGATCATGGCTCAAATGTTTGCTTTTTCCACGAAAACCTGTGTCTGTTTCTTGATCATTATCTGGTGCTACTGATGATCTTTCTAAGGACTCCTTGCATATTGAACCCATCAAATTAAGATTATAGTAAAATGAGGTTGTAGGTGTCTATAAACATATATTGTTCATATGTATTCACCTAGAGGTCAGATTTCCTCGTTCAGAAAATTTATCTATGACTTAGATTCTGTTTAGATTTCAACCAATCTTTTTATTTTCATCATGGGAAGAACCAGATGCCATCTTTATGCAACAAGTAAAGGACAAGCTTCCTTTAGTAGACGTTAGATTCTGGCCGGCGTGATCATGTAGTTTTTGTGCGAAGTACTTCCCCACCAAAGAAGGTGTGCCATAAGAACGGTTGGTTCCATTAGGTTTTTCTTGAACGGATCTAAGGATAAGACTCTAATACTACAAAGCGAAGGTTGGGGGCTCATATATTTGGAAGAATTGATCGAGGACATGTGCTCGATTGAGTATACTATATGAACTGTATGTGCAGAATTCCTTAAGAATTTAAATTCTAAAGAAATTCGAGCAGATCAACAGCAAACTAAGCTTTGTTTCATTAAATTTGGAATTGACTGTATGAATTATCTTTTCACTCTGTTATATCCATTGTTTGATCTAATAAAAAGCTAAAACACTAGATCCTTAGCAACTATCAAGTTAGTTATGGTCTACCCCTGCCTCTTTTTACATGTTCTACCAAGATAACCTCAATCAGTGTCACCACCACTTGGTGTATACACTCATTTCTTGTCTTGTCCATTTTATTACACATCCATGTAAGAAATTGAAAGGAACCAAAATTTACCAAATCCTTTCACCAAAATACGTAAATTCTCCATGTTGAATTCAAAGAGAAAAGTAAAAGCGGAAG